AAATCGGTCAACATAAATGATCCAATATTTTCTATATGTAGATTATTCGATTGTGTATATCTAATTTTCTTAAATCATATTCCATAATTTGAATAAGAATTTTCCTAATTTATATGATTTTCACTTTTTAAACCACATTATACCCATCTATATATAATCCATTCACTCCATTCATCATTTTACACATACATCGAATTTTGTTGGGTTTTTTTTTTCTTTTATATATTCACGTCAATGTTTTTTGTTTAGTTTTATCTTTTTTTTTTTTGCTCGTCCTTCATTATTGTCATTATTTGGCTAATAATTTATATATTTTATGATTTTTGCATTCACTTTGTGTACTGTTTCCTATTTGTTTTTATGTTGTATCAATTCAATTTTATGTTGCGCTTATTCCTAATTAATGATAATATCATTTGCATTCTCTAATAAAAAAATTATCCTATTTTATCTTATATTTTAAAAGGGCAGCAACGGATGACTCATGGAAAAGATGGGAGATGTGATTCCGCGAAGGTAAAAGCATAAGTTATCAGTTCTTTATCATAAACTAAGTAGAGTTGTTGCTATATTAACTCTTAACTCTCAATTAAACTGGATAGAAAGGATATGTGCTCATTATTTGTTTTACATACTTAAATTTGCTAATTATTTATGCTTTTTTGAATATATTTTGCAGAAAACTTTACATAGGAATCATTGTGATATTTTTTCTCATTACTGTTTGTGACAAATGCTAATAATATATACATAACTTCATTATGCTTCTACAAAGCATGATGATTATTTTTGTCTTCCCTTATTTTGTTTCATTTTGCTATTAAGACTTTTAATTTGCATATGTATTACTTATGTTATATTTGCTAATTATATCTTCGTTGCTAATTGAACCAACAAACCACCAATGTAGAAGAAGAACTATTACTGAGATTATATTTCTTAATGTATTTATAAATTTATTTAAAATGAATATCTTGATACATATAATAAAATCTTGAACATATTTGTTTTGAAATTAGATTATGAACACAAATTATAAAAATTTGAGTATATTTGTTAGAAGTAAGGTATGAAAGTTTACTAATTAGTAAGTGAGGTCTCTTCGACTCGAATGCATATAAAGTTGTAATAAATATTATTGTTTATGAAATCAATCAATTATTTTTATGACATGCTATTATTATTATTATTATTATTATTATTATTATATATATATACTATTGGCTGTGTCGTAGAAAGTGGATATATATGGCCAAAAAAAAATCATTTTACTTTCTAATTTATTTTTGAAATGTTTGAACTTTGAAGTTTT